AGGCATCATGTCCTGTAGTACCCGGTTTGCGGAAAGGGAGAACAATGGCATATTTCCACAGCTGGGGAAGAACTCCTTGTGCCCAAATAAGATTGAAGAGGTGTAAGAGGACTACAAGGGCTGACCGATGTAAATGTTGTAACATACGAATATGAATGTCGTCAGGCCCAGCTGCCGATGATCGGCAAGCTGAGAGCGTTGCCTCCAGTTCTTGAAGTGTAAAAGGCACATTATACTGTTCTTCTCTAAGAGAAGAAAAGTCCAAGGGTACTAACTCTCTGGCAGACTTTGAGGAAAGAAACGAAAGGCATAGATGGAGCCCCCGGGAAATACGGACCAGATGTGTGCCAAGTTCAATGGCAACGTCGAGAGGGTTTGCTACATCAACACCAGCGACCGTAGAACAGGAGCCGGATCAGGAGAGTATTTACCACTCAATTTCCTCACTTTTTTCCAGACTGCACTCATAGAAGAAGCAGAGGTGATGGTGGAAACATAGTCTCGCCAGCAAGTGCGTTTAGCTTCACGGATGACACGGCGAGCGATTGCACGCTTCTGCTTAAAATCAAAAAGTCTCTCAGCGGTTCTATTGTACCGGTACCTGCTCCATGCAGCGCGTTTCAAACGTACTGCACGAGCACAAGCAGGAGACCACCAAGGCACGCACTTCTGAGAATGCCTGCCTGAGGTTTGGGGTATAGAATGAGAAGCTGCGGTAGAAACTGACGTCGAGAAGAGGTGTAGGAGCTCATCAATGGAGGATGAAGAAGGAACCTCACTAAAAGCAGTGAGTTGCGAGTAAAGGTCCCAATTTGCCCGATCAAATTGCCAGCGAGGGCTACGGAAAGGTGGTGAATAGGAAGGAGAAGTAAGAATGATTGGAAAATGATCGCTGTCATGTAAGTCCGGTAGAACAGACCAGGTGAAGTCTAGTGCAGTGGAGGAAGAGCAGACGGATAGATCGATGCAAGAGAGAGTATGAGTACGACGATCAAAATGGGTGGGAGTACCCGTATTTAAAACATGGAGAGGGTGAGAGGCGAGAAAAGCCTCCAACTGGATGCCACGTGAGTCACAAGAGGAAATGGTGGGCGTTAAAATCACCAAGTAACAGAAGTGGTGGTGCTAAGGATGAAACAAGAAAGGCAAAGTCTGGGATAGAAAATGCTCGAGAAGGAGAGAGATATAAAGAACATATTGTAAACCACTTATTCAAGTGGATACGGGCTGCAGTGTAATGCAGCGAGGTATGGACAAATAGTTGACAGTACGGAATATCATTGTGTAGAAGAAGGGCACTTTCATTAAAGGTCTCATCTGAGAAAGGATCCGAAGAATACAATAAATTATAGCCTGAGATAGGTTGGAAAACAGCTGAGTGTAATTTTGGTTCTTGTAAGCAAGCACCAACAGGGGAAAACCTGGAAAGCAACATCTGAAGCTCATCCTGATTGCCCCTGAGGCCGCGGATATTCCACTGTAAATAGGCCATGATTGGCGATGAAGAAAATACCAGGAATCCGTAGGGAAAGGCACCTACGGACTAGAGGGGTTAGAAAAGTCAATGTGTGGTGGCATTGGAAGACGTTCAAGTAGCGAAGGAACGGAGCGTTGCGAAGAATGGGGTTGTGAAGATGGAGGAGAGGGAAGAGAAGGAACAGGAAGTGAATCAGTGTCCATTGAAGGTTTAGTCTCTGCAATATATTCTGAAATGGCTTCAAGTGTTAATGAATTCAATGTATGGGAGACCATATTGGAGATAGAAGGGGGAGGGTTAGTAAAGATTGGGACAGTAATGGACTGTACCAAAGTAGAGGGGGAGGAAAGAGTGTAAGGGACTGGAGATGAAGTGTGGGGGGGGGGACAGAAGAGGCAGAAACCTGGGAGGTGGCAGAAGAGGGAGAAACTTGGGAGGGGACGGGGGTGGAAGGCATAGTATGAGGAGGAGGGTGAATCTCCACACTTGTAATAGAGCCAGAGAGAGGGAAAGAACTAGGCACAGAGACTGGAAAGGTAAAGTGTGGAGGTGGAAGAAGGGAAGGAAGGGGCAAAGAAGATTTGAGCAATGTGGATTTTTTGGACTTCTGAGAAGTAGAGGGGCGATTGGTATTAGGTGTGGTACGAGGTCTTGTCGATACTGGGGCTTGTGAGGAAGGACGCGAAGATGTAAGAACAGACTGAGTTGTAGTCGGGACGTCAGAGCCAAGGACAGCAAAAGGATTAGATGCTGGAGTGGCTATGGGAGGGGTAACAACAGGGGAGGCTGCAGAAGATGGGACCCCAGAAGTGGGGGGGATGTTTTGAAACACGAGAATAAGAAACACGGGGTAGTCTCCCTTGGAGGCGGAGATGAGTAACTGCCATAGCATAAGGGAGACCTTCTGCCTCTTTGAGGCAACGGATTTCACGTTCATTTAAGTAGACCTGGCAACGTTGGGAGTACGAAGGGTGAGCTTCATCACAATTAAGGCAAGATGGAGGTTGAGTGCAAGATGTATTAGAATGGTCGTCGTCACCACAGACTGGGCATTCGGCCAAAGATCTGCAATATTTCGCTGGGTGACCAAAACACCAGCAATTTCTACACTGTTGCGGTGTAGGTATCACCTTTCGAACTTGTAACTGATGTCCCGCGACATATACAGAAGACGGGAGTTCTCGGCTGTCAAAAGTTAAACGAGCCACATTGCAAGGGTAACGTCTCCATCCACGGGCAGGAAGGACATAAGTGTCTACTTTGAGGATTGGGAGATCCTGGCGTTCCAGCTGTTCAAGAATGTCATTGCCACATGACTGGAAATTCTGTTGGACTATGGTATGGGGCAGAATGACAGTACCACTACAAGAATTGAGAGAAAGATGTTTTTCAATAGTGATAGGAGTAGTATCGAAATTCGAAAGGAGAGAAAGATCATGAGCTTGGGTAGCATTCTGGACAGTGAGGATGTGCATACCGCTCTTGAGAGCATGAAATGAAATATCTCTACCAACATGACGCAGGAGCACTTTGCCAATACTATGGTCAGAAAGGTAGGCAGAAGAAGAAGTCGGTCTTAAAGTAAAGAATTTAGTCCATTGTGTGGTCCGAAACTGAGCGTGGAGAGGGAGTGCATGACGTGTCGGTCTTTTCCGAGTAGAATGGGAAGGTAACGAAGGAGCATCATCAGGAGATTGACGTTGGCGTTTAGGAGTAGGACTGGAGTTGGTCCGGTGTGAAATGGGCGGGCGATTCGAAAATTGCCGGACCCTAGAGGGAGAAGCCGGAAGCATAGTCAAAGGAGAGTGGAGTTCAGACAAATCGAAGGAGTCAGTCGAAGCCCCGGTACCTGAAGCAGGTGAGGAAACAGCACCAGCAAGAGGTACAGGGGCATCAGGAGTGTCCAAAGAGTGGTCTAAAAACAAGGCAGGGTCAGAATGGGGTGCAGTATCAAGAAGAAGCCCGGGGGTAGTGGGTTCATGGATTGGGTTCTCCATGGTTAGGTTACTCCTTTGCTTTTTGTTTTTAAGAAAAAAAAGAAAGAAGAAAAGAAAATAAAAATAAAAAAAGAATAAAAAAAGGGGGGAGCGGGGAGGAATAGTTCCCAGGAGGAATGAAAGGGCCGGAAATCTCCCTCCGTGCCCAAGAGGACCTCAGCACCGCTAGTAGCACAGATGCAGCATGGAACCCGTGCCATACCCTACCCTTCATGCCAGTAAACCAGCAATCCGAGATAGTAACCTCACATCTGCCGAGCTACCTTGGTGGACAAAAGAGAGGGCGGCGGATATCCGCCACAAAGCATACCTCCTTCGGCCACCACCCCGGAATCCGAAAGGTGGTTTCCAGAGATACACCCGTCGCCCAAAAGACACCCAAAGCTACTCCGGGATACCGAAGATGGATCGGGACATCCCCAGGCAATCCAGATTCCACGGCAAACTACGCCACCGCCAAGAACCTCAACGGAATGGGATGGACCCCAGTATCCTTTCCCCTACCTAGGAACTAGCGCGCCTGTGGGAGAAATCCCAAAGGCCAAAAAGAGGAAGGGCAAAAGGGAGGGGTGGGGAGGAGGAGGAGGAGGAAAGAAAAAAGGTTAGGATGGGATAGGGAGGGGGGGATTGGGGGGTAATTAGGTTCGGTCTGAGGAAGGAGACCAACAGGTCTGATTCCTCAGACCAAGAGCCTCTTCACTACAACAAGGAGCCCCCCTTGAAGAGGTCATTGGGGAGATGTTGCACTGCCTACACAATCTTTTGCTTTCATAGGGATTGATTTCCGAATGCAAATTTGGAACTAGTCACTCTTAAGAATTTCCTAGTGTGTATTATCATGTATCTTTGTAGCCTGTGCTCCAATGAGTACCTGTTAAGGGACTTCAACTGTTCCCAGTAATTTAGGTTCTTTATTGTACTTGTGCGTGCGTGCTGTGAGGGTTCTCTGTATATTCTCCAGGTCTGCAAAAAACGCCTGCCTTGAAAAGGGCTGTTAGTGTACAGCAATATTCCCTCCTAGAGAGAACCAAAGATTTAAAGAGAATCATCACTGGCTTAGCATCCCTAGTTTTGAAGGTCCTGGTGTGAACTTAAAAAACAAATATTTAACCAACCTCCAACCACGCAAAATGATAGTATTTAGTTTTTCTGCTAAATTTGCATGACCATGGCATGTAACTACCAGATCATAAAAATTACATTTTTACCACCCTTCCCTTAGGTAATATAAAATATAACTTACTTCTTTTAAAAATGTTTGCACCCTACCACAGCAACATTCCTTATGAGGTACGAGGGTTTCATATAAGCTGATTAATTCCGGATAAATGGACACAGATGCAACTAGCGTGGTATTTTATTGCGGCATCCGTGTCCATTTACCTAACATTATTACTGATTAATTCCAACCCATTATTTATTACCAGGATTCTTTGTGTTTGAAGAAGAGACAGGTACAGAGGAAGCTTTTATTGTGTCAACGTTTCGATCTCTAATCAGCTTCACACAGAGCAAAATTTCATTAATGGTGCTCCGTACCGCTGTTTTTCTTCAATACTATCGTCAGGCCACCATCGTATCCATCACACAGACGGTGATGGCCATGATTGTTGACACTGTCGACGAATCTGAAAGACCCATAGACCGTGGGCGGTGATGATCCTTCCACAGCCCATATGGAACCTTGTGTATTGCACTGATTCTGATTATTATTCCCTAGTCGATGACACAGCACTAAGTATGCTGGCCTTAGAACTCACAAGACCTGAGTTAAATATATTATCACGTATATTCTCAACATCATAAATTTTACCCTTACATTACTATGCCTTTGTGGAGTCTCTACACATAAATTATACACACAATTATATATTACTGTAACCACGAACGAGTGGTATTGATCAATAACAACACTGCGATTAGCCAAGGACTCGAACCCATGATGTTTTGGCTCGCCTCATGGTGAGCGAAAATCACATGACGCTCTAACCGACAGGACCACCAAATCCTACAAGACCCAAGCACCCAGCCAAGCTAGGTGTGTTACCCTTGGTCCGAGGACATACAGTGTGTGTGTGTGTGTGTGTGTGTGTGTGTGTGTGTGTGTGTGTGTGTGTGTGTGTGTACATACAGTGTGTGTGTGTGTGTGTGTGTGAGAATAACAACACTGCGACTAGCCAAGGACTCGAACCCATGATGTTTTGGCCCACCTCATGGTGAGCCAAAATCACATGACGCTCTAACCCACGGGACCACCAAATCGTACAAGACCCAAGCACCCAGCCAAGCTTGGTGTGTTACCCTTGGTCTGAGGACATACAGTGGCGTGTGTGCCTCTTGAGCTAATTTCATTCTACTCCCTGTTTAGTGTACTAGCCCAACAAGCAGTATTTTATATTATTGTAACCACGAACGAGTGGTAACACACCAAGCTTGGCTGGGTGCTTGGGTCTTGTAGGATTTGGTGGTCCTGTGGGTTAGAGCGTCATGTGATTTTGGCTCACCATGAGATGGGCCAGAACATCATGGATTCGAGTCCTTGGCTAGTCGCAGTGTTGTTATTCACACACACACACTATATATATATATATATATATATATATATATATATATATATATATATATATATATATATATATATATATATATATATAATTCCATGAAGTTGAGGTACAAAGCCTTGACTAGAACTTTTAATTAAGAGAGAAGAAATCCAGTTTCATAAAATCAAATGGAAATACCTTTCCCCTGGTAATTAACGTGGCTGGAATATAGCCACAGCTAATATTAAATTACCAGAACAAAAAATAAACCACATACTTTAAAATAAATATTTTTATAACCCACGCACATTTTGGAAGTTGCCAGCAAATATATTAATTAACCCTAACCGGAGTCGATTAAATGAAAGAGACGTTATGTAGAATGACAAAAAAATAAATTTTCAGTGGCTGTTGGAGATGGAGAGAGAAGAGAAAGCAAACAGGAAATGTGAGAGAGGAAATGTGAAGCAGAGAACAAATGTGAGAGAGAAAATGTGAAGCAGAGACGAAATGTGAATTAGAGCGAGAGTCAAAGAGAGCGCGAGTGGGAGGCAGAGAAAAAGGTAAGGGAAACGAGAAACTATTATTATTATTAAATAGAGGAGGGAGCGCCTAAACCTTAGGGTGTTACTGTGTCTGGGGGTTGGAAGGTAATCAAGTGTGATCCAAGTAATGGGCGGGTCTCTCCAATTCCTGAGATCAATGAGATGACTGATACAAAAATATCCTTCTCTTCCTCCTCCCATCCCACTCCTCTTCATCCTCCCATCCCATCCTGTTCCTCTTCCCCTCCCACTCCTCCTCCCCCTCCCATCCCACTCCTGTTCCCCCTCCCATCCCACTCCTGTTCCCCCCTCCCATCCCACTCGTTTCCCTCTCACATCCCACTCCTGTTCCCCCCATCCCACTCCTGTTCCCCCCATCCCACTCCTGTTCCTCCCTCCCATCCCACTCCCGTTGCCCCTTCCCATCCCACTCCTGATCGAGCCTCTTCATCCAACTCCGGTTTCCCCACTTCATTCAACTTGTTTCTCCTATTCATTCAACCTCTGTATCTCCTCTTAATTCAATGCGTTTCTCCTCTTCAACTACTGTTTCTCTTCAATTACTGTTTCTCCTCTTCAACTATTTCTCAACTACTGTTTCTCTTCTCCAACCACCTATTATTTCTCCTCCAGGTTCCATTTAGGTATAACTGGGTGGAGTATATCTTTCTGGTAGGGGTGTGTGGAAACGAGAGAGAGAGAGAGAGAGAGAGAGAGAGAGAGAGAGAGAGAGAGAGAGAGAGAGAGAGAGAGAGAGAGAGAGAGAGAGAGAACATCTGCTTGACAGTAGGGGTTGCAAGATTCTGTATGAGGCACAAGTACGCTCACACCTTGAGTATGCTCCACTTTCTTGGTTTGCTGCCCCCTCCCCCTCTCATCTGCGACTGCTTGACAGAGTAGAGAACAGAGCAAGACGACTCATCTCTCGCCTGGACCCATCCTGGATACATCTGTCATTTCAGCAGAGCCTTCAACAAAAGAGGGATGTGGGTGGCCTTACTGTTATGTACAAGGCCAATATTGTCAAAGTACCATACTTGGATCCACTTCGAAGACAGCGTGAAGCAAGCTTCTATACCACAAGACGGGCAGAAAGGCAGCAACTTCACTCTGGCTGTACCCTTCTTCAGAACATCAGTTCATCCGAGATCATTTATCCCTAGGATGACTCGAGTCAGGAACACATTCGTACAGCATTATGATGTCAACGAGATAAAGTCAGTTGATCAAATGAAAATGCTGGCCCACAGATGGCTCCAACTACATCCTGTTCCCTACTTGTACGTTTCATAACAATGAAAATGCTTTCAAAAGAGCTGATGCAGGTAACAGCTCTTAGCTTGTCAATAAAGTTAGGAATCCTTAACTTGTAAATAGCTTGTCAATAAAGCTAGGGATCCTTAACCTAGCCTTGTCAAACCCTGTATAAAAAAAATACACCAACTTCTTGTTGGGGGGTTACAGGGCCACTCACACTTGCCGCCGTATTGAGCCCTGGAGTAACTTCAATACTACTAGAGAAAGATTACACTAGTCCGGCTTCTCGACTCTGTACATTGACAACATTTATCATATTATAAATGGTATACAAAACACGTGCAACACTAAGTCTTTATTGACAAAACGTTTCGCCTGTGCTTCAGCCTTCATCAGTGGAATACAGAGATGAATGACATTCCTGGAGACACGAGTCTTGGTGAAAGACGAAGTTTACGACATGGAGAGGTAATTTAATGTAATTATTCCATCAGCTTTGGTTCAAGACAATCAGTCACACAGCCTAAAGCAGAAAAATTTATTCAGAGGCTTTTATACTGGAAAGTGATGTGTAGAAGCCTTTTATCGTCAGAACAACGTTGCCTTCTCACACTGACAACCTTGTCTGGTCCTGGTACTGATTTCTCATCTGGTCATCCTTAAATACAATATAATTCAAAACTTTCAACAGGACCTTTGTTTTTCCCTATATTTTATCGATGTTTTCTTTCCATAATTCTCGTCATTAATTTTCCACCGCATTCCGTCATTCCGTCACTGTCATATTAACTACTGCACTGACTGGTTAACGTCTATAGACACACGAGGGTTATTTAAAACTGCATGTTACCTGTTCACCACCATATATATATATATATATATATATTATATATATATATTATATATATATATTTATATATAAAATATATATATATATATATATATATATAATCACGTCGGCCGTTTTCCACCGAGGCAGAGTGACCCAAAAAGAAAGAAAAAACTTTCAGCATCGTTCAATACTTTCACCATTCTTCATACATAATCACTGTCTTTGCAGAGGCGCTCAGATACGACAGTTTAGATGTCCCTCCATACTGCCAATATCCCAACCCCCTCCTCCAGAGTGTAGGCATTGTACTTCCCACCTCCAGGACTCAAGTCCGGCTAACAGGGTTCCCTGAATCCCTTCACAAAATATTACCCTGCTCACACTCCAACAGCTCGTCAGGTCCAAAAAAAAAAATATTCGTCTCCATTCACTCCTATCTAACACGCTCATGCACGCTTGCTGGGAGTCCAAACCCCTCGCCCACGAAACCTTTACCCCCTCCCTCCAACCTTTTCTAGGAGGACCCCTACCCCGCCTTCCTTCCTCTACAGATTTATACGCTCTCCACGTCATTCTACTTTGTTCCATCCTCTGTAAATGATCAAACCACCTCAACAACCACTCTTATCATTATATATACACTAAGTAATTTCATGCAAGGAAATAAACAAACAGTACCGAAATATTTTTTCAGCTGAAACTACCGTTCATCACTACCATATTCTTCTCAGTTTGCTAATATATTCTTCATTTTAACTTTTTTAACTTATATTTTTAATTTTTAATACATTCTTCTATTAATAATTTTATTTTTACTCAAAAATAACTTATTTTCATATATAATTTTTAAGTCGCCAATATCTCAAAATTTGACTAACACTTTTTAACACACCAGCGCCTCTTACCTTCATTAATACTTTTCGGCTCGCTTTAATCTCTCATCCTTTTACTAAAGTTCCCAAACTTTTAACATGCTTCACTCAAAGCGCTCTCTTCCCCTGCTCCACCATTGTTATCTTCCTATCTATCCCTTCTCTACTTTATGCTGCAAGCCTTCACGTGTCTTGGTTAATGTTTCCTTCTTTTCAATTTTTTCCCGTGTCTTCCACTTTCCCTTTCCAGTCCTCCTCTATTTCTACCCTTATTCTCACCTGCCTCACCTCCGTCCCTCCTTGCCCCCAATCCTCATCTTTACCTATTTCTCCTTCTATCTCCTTTCCATTTACCCTATCTCCTATCTCCCTCTCTTCTAATTTTTTTTCAAGAGCCGATATTTTCTTATATTACTGTGCCTTATGACCAATTGTTGCAACCCCTGAATGGGTTACAATGATTATTATGTATATATAATGTATATTATCTTTTCATATAATTTTATATTGCTTATATTTGCGATAATAGCTAAATCGTAAATGTATGACTTTATATTATTATTTGACTGTTATATTGTT